ATTAAAACGAAAAAATAATAACATATAACTTACATTATCAATTTCAGTATGGTGCTTAAGGGGTGCAATAGGATTATTAATCATTTAAAACACCACATTTAGGTATTTCTACTTAAAATTCAAGTTATGTATAACCAATATATCAAAAGTGCAGCCCTAATGTTAGTGTCAAGTTTCTTTTATTCAAAAATAGGTATTCTCAATAGGTGTGAGAAAATAAAACATTTTATTGTACCATACATTCCAATTTTCTTATATTGGTTCGACGAGAAAGGGGAAAGAACAAAATCAATTTAGAGAAACGCTCTGCATTGAGAACTCACTTCTTGATAGGCTAATGCTGCACACACAATCTAAAGTAGCCCCGAAAAGATGTATAAAGATCATAAATAAACATACATATAAAGATAACAAGGGATGCGAGATGTCGCGTCGGGGGTATCCGAGAGATCGGCCGAGCGAATTTGAGTGCGTGTGTTTTGTCAAAAGACCGTCACGAGGGACGAGACGTAAAAAAAGAAACAGCACGGAATCACAATATAAAGTGTTGTTGTATCTTTGAAACTTTTTTCGTAAATCCGAAGAAAAAAACCAGAGAAATGCGACTTCGGCTGTAGGAAAATATGTCAACGCTATTCGTCACCACCGTCCTCTCTATTGTATATAGCTCGCATTTCGCCCGATAGCTCTCTGCGCGCCAGTTAATAAGACGAATTCCGTATAGGTACTTTTTCAACGAGCGTCCAATAAAAGTTCAATTTTTCACCACCGCCATCGTGTCGGCCGTTCTGGAATTTAATGGGTTCATATAGATATCATCGATGTTATGACTTGAACGACTGATAGTGTAGAATAATACTAGTATAGAACCACTTTGACGAACGGTAGAGAAATAGGAGTTAGACGATATGCGATATCATATTATTGTTTATTAGACAAATAATATATTCAATACAATGCAGTACCGTTGTCCGTCTCGGCCAATAAAACGAGCGAGTAATTTCATATATGTATAATAATATCTGTTCAGTAGATGCGTGGAATTTACGAAAGATCGAATTTGAATCGTTATTCGCAATCGTATGTTCGTATCTCATAGTTAGAGGTCTATTATGTTGTAATATGAGTGGATAAACGGTTTACAATGTCATCAAATATCTTCATAATAGCAATTTAGGCGCTGGTATTATAGCGGTGTTCTTATATAATACTAATAGATTGTAAAACTCTATGTAAATACAAGCAGGACAGTGATGAATCCGCCGAAATTTTAATTTATTATTGTTATGCTTCATTAACTTTGAGCATTTTTTTAGCCATTTTCCATCTCCGACAAGTTAAAAAAAATGTTGTAAAAATAAGTACACACGTTACAATAATTATTACAAAGTAGTATGGTTAGTATAATAATTTTAAAATCGTAGGTAGAAACTCTACGAAATTTTACATTTCAAGTTTTTGAATAAAAACTTTTACAGCTGTATGAAATATCGACTATATCTCCCAGTCTTTTGAGTTTTATAGTTGCTCATACATTCAGTTTTGTAGTTAATCATACAGCGACGAAGCATAATAGAAACAAGTTTTATTATTTTTTGCAATATAAGTTTTAGGACGACAAAAGCAAAAAAAAAAAATAATAAATATGTTCTAGGGTAGGTACCAGATTAAAAAGGAAATTCCGTTGAAAAAACATATTATCAACTACATATATTGTTAAGTGAACTAAATAAAAATTTATGCGCTGTGGTAAATTCAGCATCGAATGTAAAATCCAAATATAAGTACACGAACAAAAAAGTGTGTTAAACGAAATAATAATATACAGATGCAATTATTGACGGTAGAATTTATCGAGGTGGTTAACTGATAAGAATATGTTGCTTTTGTAAAAAGTAATGTTCATTCATTTATACTTTAACTTTGTTTTGTATTATAAATCTGTAATTTCCTTTTTTATTTAATAATAATTTTGCGTATTAGTGTAAATGTTATAAATAGTATTGTTGAAAATTAGTCATGTAGTAGGTATATTGGAATGTTTAATCTGCATATTGAAAAATCTAATGTTGTCTATTTATTTCTTAGAAAAATAATTTAAAGAATATTATAACGATAGGTCAAATATAATTGAATATTAAATATGTCTCAAAATGCATTGTGTTGTATTACTTAGTGAGTTTTTGCAGAAAACCGTTTAAAAATAATATATGAACCCGTTAACGTCATTAACAAAATAAACGTTAGCGCCTTAGCTCCGAACATCTGTAATGCTATTTGATTATAGTAATCAGTTATTATAAACATTTCCACCATAGATAATACACACTGGATAGGGCTATGATTTAAAATCTTGAAGTATTTCAACTAGGCCCCAAATCACCAGCGCACATGTGCAAGACTATTGCTACTATTATATTACCACTAGTCCACTACATTATATAATACACACTCCGCCCAGGGCTACCTATTTCACTATAGGTAAATAATAAGCGCAATAAATACATCGGAGCCTAATAATGGGCTGAAATGGGTTTTGTTTCAAATGAGTAATCGAGTAATCAAAAATCGCCCTCTATCTTTTGCCGCTTTCCATACAATCATTGCTTGTCTATGATTTTAACAGGCATTTGGTTAATATATATATTATTGTCTTATCAAAATATCAAATATCTATTGAAGTTTGGTATACTCGGGTTATCGGGTTATCAAAAAATAAAAATAATGTTTGAAACGAACAAATATGTTATCAGTTCGTGTTTATTTTTGCGTAAATGACAAAGCAAAAGTGTAATTCGGCGAAACCAATACAGTGATGTACAAAGACGAGGAATTAAAAAAATTGACAAAAGTACAAAAAGTGGTTATTGAGCAATATTAACAATGTTCGGCAGTCGCGGATACGGTGCGTAGTGCGCATTCGACGACGTACAGCTGGAAAGAGAGCGGGTGCCAAGTCTGTCGGTCGGACTGTCAGAGGTACTGTCATGGAGGCCCACTGTGACCGGTGTTGCGAACAATATACAATACCAAAGGGAGGGGCACGCAGCTGACGACGGATGACTCGGTGATACCGCGGTTATAATCAAGGTGGATTATTATTATTATTATTTCCCCCTTGGTTATTATGCACAAATGTTGTACATCGCTACAAAAGTGATAACTCAGTGGATAACTCTGATACCTGTGCATCCGATAATGCAAAAACCTCAGAGTAATAATAAAACTTAAGTTTCAATATTATAAGGTACCTATATATAATTTAACCAACTTTATTTTTACCGATGTGATTAACCTGCGTTGGGAAAAAACCATAGACCCACGATGTGGAGAAGATAAGGTGATACCGTTCCCGTATCTTTCAATGGTACGATATTGACCCAAAAAAACGAGGCAGTTCGATAGTTCAGAATTTATCACCAGAGTACGCCACCATTCGCACGAAGGCCGACTTTTATAAGAGTAGTAATGGAGATTTACATTTAAATTTTATTTGAGTGTATTAAGTATTGTTCAAATGTCAATAATCTGCATTTCAACATAATGTATTTTATGTTATATTGTATAGATTATTAAAATAAACCAATTTTTTGGAATCATGTACCTACCAATTATTATGTAAAAATCGTATCAATATTACATAGTAAGTAGTCTGTGTATCGCACAAATTTATTTGTTTAAATAAAAGGCATCCATTGTATGATATTATATGTCCATTTATTAACTGATAAATATATGTATAGAAATTGAACTAGTAATATCTACATACAATAGGTATAATGAACGAATTTTAACTGTTAATAAAAACTCAAATAAACTACTACTCTCCTACTGACCCAAGTTCACCCAAATCCCTAAATAAAAAATCATAGTTGCAAATGCATTAACTAAAAATATTGTTACATTTTATTTACAATCTAGAATGTATTTTATATGTGATGCAGAACTAGAGCAAAAATTTAGCTAAGCAGTCTAAACTGATAAAACCGTGTTACATAGGTAATATAGTTGTTAAAATATAATATAATACAACTTCCTTAATTTATTGAAACCATTTTAAATTGTACCTAATTGAATAGAATAATCACTTAAAAATAAATCACAGATACTTAGCTACTATTTTTAATTTTTAAATAATAGTATCAAAAACAACAAAAATATGTAGATATTTTTAATATTTGATATTAAAAACAATGCATTCACAATATGAAAATCGGCCTTCGGGCGAATGGTGGCGCTACCTGCACGAGACATCAGCTATACTACCAAACTATCGATAAAATTTGTGACCGGAATGTGTACAAGCGGTGTCACCTTATCTTATAATCTCTACGTCATGCAATAAAACTATTCAATTAATGAGTGTGAGGAAAGCGGCAAAGTATAGGGGACGCTTTTTGATTACTCGATTGATCTCATAGGTCTACAATTTATTGTCTATACCAAATTGCCAGGTTAGGTACGCGTCCGATAATACCTACGTGTTCAGTCTAAAGTTAAACACAATAACTATTGTAAATATGCACACATGTCGTCAAAAACACTATACATGACTGCGAAATGTTCTACCGTCATCCTCAATGCTGTTGTTATACACACTACTTGTGTATGAGGTCTATGACGAAAACACTCAATTATCCTGACAAAAAAAAGTCTCAAAGAACATTTATTTTATTACTTTTCTTTATTAATTCCCATTTTTAGTGAAGATATATTATAATAAATAGAAAATAATCAAGTCTAAGTTCTATTAAAGTTAATTAAAACGATTATATTACATTGTATAAACACTTTTTGTATAGGTAAAATTAATAAATGTCATAATGACAGTGTTTTACAGAGAAAAAAAAATAACTTTACCTTGAGATATTAGATTCTAGTATATTACCGATTATGATATTAAATACTTGATTATAGTGGTCATTTCTGTTAAAATAATAATAATGTAGATACTTATTGAACTTAAATATTTTTTAACAAAACAAATTTTTTTTTTTCAGAAAATACTACCAGTTATAATAATGGTAATACGATTACAGATGCAGAAGAAGAGACGGAAAAAATCAGTCCATTTTGGTCATTTAATGACTCCGTTGACTTGACAAAATATGAACAATTTGATCATCAACGTTTTATAGGTAAGTTAATTTTTTATTCAATTTTCCTTTATCAGGGAATATTTAATTTATATAGTTGAAAGTTTTCTTTTACTTAATATGGTTTATTGGACAATTATACATTGTAAAACGATTTATTCAGAGAATTATTTGTACAGTTAAAATCAAACTAAAAAATAGGGGGTAATTGGGTAGCGCTCTGCTCTACATCAGGCGTCTAAAGAGTCACTGTAATAGATGAGTTAAATCGGAAGTCATATTGAAATAAAAATATTATTTTATACAAAAAATGATTCTACACGAAGACGGTCTGTGAGCCAATAATATTAGTTATTACTAAATATATTTTATGATTTTATTTTGATAAAAGTAATTTATTTTATTATTAGACATTAGTATTACTCTAAGTAAAATTTATTTTTAACAAACATAAATACATAATACTGCATTTGTGAACGACATTGTGTGTATAAAATATAAAAATATACTCTAAAAGTTTCAAGTACCCACGAATAATATTTTTGAATTGCAACAAAATAACTTAAATCGTTACTCTTGATTTTAATCTGTGATTTCGTTCAAAATTGAACTTAAAATATCTTTAAAAAAGAACTGTGATTACATATTTTTTAGATTTTTAGGTTACAGAATGAACTATTTATTGGAAACCTTTTTTTTATTATTTCAATTCTTAGCTATACAAATTTAATATTGTATACATTTTTAACAACAAAATAATTTGTAAATTTGCAATTTGATACATTTTGTCATCATTTGAAATTTAAATGCTCAAAAAAAAAATTGATTATGTACTTTTAATATTTTAAGCTTTTTTATCTAACTAATAAAATTGTGTTTCACATTTATGGAAAAAAAAAAACTAAAAAAAAAATGGAAATTGAAAATGTCTTTAAATGATAGTTCAAAACGAGTCAACGTGATTTGAATATTTTATCATGTATAGAACATGATAAAATAAACATTTGCTAAAAGTATTTACGTTTATTCGCTTTTGAATTACGACAGAATAAGTAAATCGTTCCATCAGAAATCGAGTAAATATCCAATGATCCAAAAATAACTTCAGACTCTCATAAAAAAATATTGTGAATTTACTATTGAAACAGTTCGGTCTGTGGGGACCGATTATCTCGAGAAAGGAAAAGTCGTTGAGATTCGATATCACGTTTAATCTTCATTATTTAAATAGAATTTATTATGCGTACGTATAAAAATACTGACGTTGGGGCAGCTAGCGTCGCGAGTGCACCGGCCGGCAATTTAAGCGGACGAGAGGCTCGTATACGACTGCCCTGACGAATCAGTCTAATCTTACAATAATATATTGCGGCAATCGTCGGGTATAGCGGAATGTAGTCGACCGTCGGCATTTCGTGACTTTAAAGCGGTTTCTGCTCGGTGCCGCGGACGGGCAAGAGCCGTTTGGTCGCTGTGCTGCGATTCCTCTGTCCCGTACTCCTTCGCCTGTATCGGCGTCCCCTCTCGCAGTGATCTGATTTCCTCGTGTCGTACGTTCTCCGTCGACTGGTCGTCCTCAACTATTATGTGCCCTCTTCGCTCAGGCCGCTTAGGTCGCACGGCTCGCTTTTCGAACTCTGATTGACACTCCAAGTAGGTTTAGTATCTTTACTGGTGCCGGTTCTGCTTCCGCCAAGTCGTCCGCGGTTTCCGGCTTTCGGCGGCTTTGTATGTCTTCGGCTGGATGGACTGTTGGGCTCAATGGTCTTAGTGTATTCGGATCTTCTGAGTTGATGTTTACTGGTTGAAGATTGACGGAAGACTGAATGTAGAATTATTAATGTGCCCGGTGTATATACTATGATGTTTGCCGACAGTAAGGAACGGATTTTGTTACATTCGCTCTAACCTCCCCTATCTATGGCTGTACTTCGCTGGTATGTGGTGTTGAGTGGGTGAGCTAAGAAATTGTTTAAAAACTCTCAAAAGTGCGGTTTTCTTGAACGCCGTGTTCGGATTGGTGGTATTGAAATGGGCCGTTTTCTAATGTGGTGTTGCATACCGTTACAAGATCAACTTTTTTTTTAAATTTCCATTTATAATAACTTATGAGAATCCTTGTATTACATTTTCAAGTTTTTTGACCAAGTGAAAATTTATTTATCAAAAAATTTAAAAAAAACCAATAAAAATCGAAAGTCTCATGTGCCTATAATAAGCTTGACATGAATCAAATTATTTTGGAAATGTTATGGTTTACCTATAGAAAATGATTATATAAACATTTAGTGAAAAACTTTATGCATCTAAGGTATTTATGGTATTTTTTTTTAGATCTACACCAAAAAAAAATTATATATTCTCTTCAAATTTTGACAAAAACTGATTTTGTATAAAAATTTCAGTTTTTCTCTGCTCTTTTGAAAATGTTAAGGAATTCTAAATTTTTAAATCCCGAATATAATTAATAGATTCACACGAAAATACTGAAGTCGAAAATTAAAGCATTGTTCAGCACACAAAAAAAAATAAATACACACATCATTGGAAAATCAATACATTCATAGCTCCGCTCTGATATCCATAATAATAACTACGTTTTCCAAAGGCTCCACTTACACTCACAAATAAACTACATTTTCCTTCCCATTTGTATACAGATTTAGTGGATCCACAACTGTTATTAGTTCCCATAGTGGTAGCAGAATATTCTACCTATAACGAAGAAACTAGATTCCGGTGAAATATTGTGTGTTTCTTATGTATAACCAGTAAATATGTTAAGTTTTTAATCGAATGGTTTAAGAAGTCATCTGTGAAACAGTTCATCTCGCCGTAAAAGTAAAAGGAGGAAAGGTACTTATTTTAGTGAGTGGTGAAATTGCCAAAACGACTGCATTTCTTATGTAGAATATAGTACGACACTAAAATATGTCACATAGCCTTGCATTACATCTTAGATAAGAAATTTTTCTATTGTTTCTAAGTCCGAATGTATAATCGTTTTTATCTACCAACTATCTAAATATTATTAGTATTGTATTCAACACCATAACTGTGTGATCTCAAGCCCTTTTTATATTTTAGACATAGAACAATATTTAAGTAATTATTACACAAATCGGGTAAACATAGAAAAATCCAGGAGAGCAATAATTATAGCACTGCACTATAATTATTCGTATTTTATATTTGGTTCGCAGTGATATAATTTAAAGTAGGTATCTATATGAAAAACGACAGACAATTTTGTTCCGAAAAATAAATAACAAGTTTATTGAACAGGTATGAGTTTTTAAAACAATAATAAACGATTTTTAAAGTATTAAAAAGTTTTGTGTTTCCTTGTTTATCGCCTATAGTATTTGCATACATTTTGTTGGCTGTAGGTGTAACGTAACTAGGTCGAACGGTATGTTTTTGTATTACGGCCTACCACGGGAGCCATGATATATTATAGGTTATACAACACTAACATATCCTCTAATACAGACAACGTTGACTATTAGTCCAATACAAACTCCACCTATACCCACCCACAATCCAACACCAATAGAACTATCGTTAAATCCACAGCCAACATCCAATTACCAAAAAAATACCTGCAAGCCATTATGGGGTTCTCAAGAATTTTCTACAGGGAAGGGGGATAATTTCTAAAAAAATATGCAAGGGGATTATAGGTGCACAGAAAAAAACGGGCTCGTAAAACAACGGCCAATGGGGGCGGGGAGTTAAACTCTTTGCCTCAATAGCCGTGAGTTGTGACAGCCTGCCCTCATCCCGTCCAATCTATTTCACTTCTGACGTTGGCGCAATAGAGACTTTAGTGTCAACTACTATGCTTCATGCGCCATATACACTATAATATCTCTATCCAGTTAGTTCTAAAATTCTATAACATTCATTCGATAATCTCCCTTGGTATAATATCAAAACCTATAATTATTAACCACTATATTAAATACTCATGCCAATATAACGTTAATAAAATATGGTATTTTCTTACTTTCGAGTTCGACAATATGATAGGAAATTGTAATAACTGAATAAACACCTTGATGATAATGATAAGTTATAGTACAGTACTATTATTATTTATTAGTACTAAGTTCAATATTAATTGAATTCGATCATACCGAATATTGCATAATCCTCTCTGACAGTACTGTACCACAGTTATGAAAACAATTAATGGTCATGCATCGAATTATTAAAAAAAAATAAAAATAGAAAAAATAGCTTCACTCAACTTATTTTATAGTACCGACGAGCTTAAATCAAATAAATACGGATAATCAGAAAACAAAAGTATAATAATAAAACAGATGGAAGAAAAAAGTATAAAAGTGTCACTGCCAGTATGTTCAAGCCAAATGCCCTGTTTTACCATCCTCTTATACATCACGACCTATTACAAAAATATCGCAAACAGCAATTCGCCGATCAAGAAGACTCCTCCGCCCCCCCCCTCCCCAACCAATAAAAAAACCAACAACAACAAATTTAAATAATCAAATTTAAAAAAATAGGATAACCGAACAAGTATTAACTATGATGATGGCTTCTAATCGAAATTGATACATATTTAGAAACATCTCATAACTAGTTTATAGTACGAGGATCTATTTATCTTTTAATTTATTAAAAAGATTTTTTTCAAAAAATCTGGATCTACTGGTCTGGAAAACGTAAGTAATTATGAGTAGGTACCACAGGAATTCAAGAATATAATTTAAATTATTGAAACTACCCACCCTCTCGACAGGTAGAAATATTAAGAGTTCGTTCTCCTGATCATCTAACACCCTTTTTAAGCCCTCATATTATTTTTACAACTGTCAGATGTCGTCATTTTGAATCCTGACTAGTGAAGATGATACACAAATAACCTCTGTCCGAAACATGAAACCAAAATGCAGACATATCCACTGGTGATTTATATATATTCATTTTTGTTTTTATAAAATCGATCAACATTTATATTACTAGCCGTTTACATTGTTTGTTCAATTACGTAACAGAATCCTTTTATTTATTTT